TTGAGAGCAGATCAATTCAAAAGCATGTCTCTTACTGTCAGTGTAAACCAATACTTTATACATTCATGTTTTCATACATGCACTTATTGGAGTTTATGCAGGTGATGCCTTTGCTGTGCAGAGTAAGGCGTGCCCAAACCTATGATTGTAGGTTCGAAGCCCTGTTCGCCCTGATTATTTCTAGATTTGTCAGCACTATAACCGTGCTCGTCTTTCACTCTAATGGTTTGCCTCCCACTTCGAGCTGACATAGCGTAAAATAAGAATTAGTAAGTTTGTTTGCTTGTTTGTTGTTTAACGCCGTAATCAGCAATATTCCAGTTATATGACAGCGGTCTGTAAATAATCGAATCTGAACCAGACAATACAGTGATCAGCATGGATCCACGCAATTGGGATACAATGACATGACATCTGCGAGCCTGACCACCCAATCCCGTGACGAGCGGACGATTTGACCACTAGGCTACTCAACCGCAGAAACACCAGAAATGTGTTTCACACATTGTACCCTTGTCAGGAATCGAACTCGGATTTTCGGCGTGACGAGCGAACACTTTGACCACAAGGCTATCCGACCGCCCCAGCAAAATCAGTAAGTCTGGGTTATAATGATATAAATCAGTGTATAAATCATTTATATGTTATTTCAGCTGAAGTTCCGACGGTAGACGCAGCGTGACAATGATTAAAAGATGGTTGGTGTATTATACCACTCATCTTCAACACAGGCACTTTGAAGGCTGAGAACAACAAATACAAAGTCCAGAACAGTATCTCAACAATACACCTCACATTGTTGTCCAGACGAATAATGCCACGGTAAGAAAGTAATTATTGACTTGCTATAGCTAAATTTAGCTTAAGTGTTGTAATTTCATGGGCTTAGCGTATGGGAACCTATTTGATGAAGGTTAGAAGCCTTTATTATAGGCGAAATACATCCTAAGAATACTGTAGCGTCGAATGTTCTATTTCTGTCATTTCTAAACTCTTGAAAGGTGTATACCAGCTCATTATGAACGTCATGTTCTCGCTGATCAAAACAATTCGCTACTTGTGACGTACACTGTTTAAAATTGTTGAAGTTTGATTTGCGTTTATTCTCGTAAATGAAAGGTGTGTTATTGTTATTTGAAGTGTGAGGAACTTACACTCTTCCAAAAAAGAAAAGCACAGCTAGACTTTTAGTAAATTAAAAGTTGGTATACTAGTATTTAATTTAATATCATAGATACAAATATGAAATTTTAGTCACATGTTGTCGTTGTACAAAGGCATGTTGTCGTTGTACAAAGGCATTGAAAAATGTTCATTGTCATGTCACATAAGGCCACAAGGTTGCGCTGAACTCAGTATCTCGTGTGACCGCCTCGGGCAGCAATCGCGGCTATGCATCTCCTCGGCACTGACTGGGTAAGTGTACGAATTCTGTCCTGCGGAATTCTTCGCCATTCTGCTTGTAACGCGTTGGCCAGGTGTGGGAGTGTCTACGGCGTGTTCTTACGTTGACGTACACGTCAATCGAGTTCATCCCAGAAGTGTTCGATTGGGTTGAGATCTCGAGATATCGACGACTAGGGCAAAACGTTGATGTTGGCATTATGAAGGTAGTCTACCTTGACACGAGCTGTGTGCGGTTGGGCGTTGCCCTGTGCAAACAGCTTCCTCTGGCGGTCAATGATTGAATGAAGGTGAGGTTGAAGAATTTGATTCATGTAGCGATTTGCTGTTAAATTTCCCTGAACCACAACCAAGTCAGATCTCGTGGTGTAGGCTATGGCCCCCCACAGCATGACACTAACGCCACCGAAAATGTCGAATCCACGTACACAATGAGGGGCAAAACGATAATTTCGACAACGATAAAAATGTTGTCTTCCATCTCGCCGGTGAAGAAGAAATCGTGATTCATCGCTAAACCAGACTCGTCTTCAGTTTCTCACACTCGTCTCCAGTTTCTCAAATTCCAAGGCTGTAAGGTATGGGACTAGCGCAAGCGTCGCTGTCGATGGATCTGTTGCAAAACAGGGATGATAATTGGTCTTCTGGGTCCGATTCCAGCCTCGCGAAGATGATTCCTGACAATCTGGTCCGATATCCTCCTCAAACCAGGGATACGTCCTGCAGTCACCGTAACTGTGGCATTGCGATGACATAGGTGGAACAGTCGAAATTAGCGATCTTTTGCAGGGGTGGTAACTCTTGGTCGGCCGGTTCTCGGACGGTCTGCAGTGGAATTGAACTGTGTGTATCGATCCCAAAGGCGGAAAATGGTGCTGTGGTGGACGTTGAAGTGGCGTGCAACAGAAGAGTGCGATTCCCCTCTTTGGATACGTCCTATGGCGATTTTCCGATCGGCATCGCTGAGTCTCGGCATTTTCGAACTTGAAAAATGTTGACAATTGAATAAATTATTGGCTTATGCTTGCCTTTTTATAGCCACTACCACGAGTTACAAATGCCATAACTTGCACGTGCATTTTGCTCTACTGTTTTAGTACATGTGTGAAAACAATGCCGTTTAAGACATGGCAAATCGACAATGGCTGCGTTTTGACTCACTACAACATATATCCAATAACATATATCCAGTTTATATACCGGATTTGTTGTGTAGTGAGGTTCAATGAACAACATACTACCTGTGCGTTTCTTTTTTTGAAGAGTGTATAGACGTGTAGGAGTTTTCGAGTCTATAACATGTTGTAATGTCGAGAGAAAACAATTAAATTGTTTGGACATGAGAAAAGGTTATTGTTAAATTTGATCTTGCATTTGATCTTCAACTATTACGTTGTTTCTCCGCGGGGAAGAGGCCTCATATCGATATACAGCATGTTGTGAGAGATGCCTCAGATATACATTTAGTGGCGGTTTGTCAATCAAATATTTGATTACCTACAGGTACCGTCGCTGTAATATTACTTAATATTACCTAACAAATCATTTACTGTTTTTACCGCAAAATTCTAAATTTAAAACAGATATTTAGATTTAAAATGTTTGTTTTGGTTAAATTGTATCATAGGTGAGGTGAAATGGGGTTTAACGTCGCGTCCAAGATTATTGCCCTTATATAGCGACGTGCATGTACGTGTGTGTGTTTGTGTGGCTGCTTGTACTAGTCCGGACTGATGCCGATTTATAGTGCTAGCTCACTGAGATACCATGCCGCAGTTTAACATGAATACCCCGCTCAGACACAGTATACTGACTCCGAGCCGACCAGTCCTTGTTTTAGCCCCTTAATGCCGAGCGCCAGACAGGGTAACAACAAGTACCATCCCTTAACGTCTTTTGGTATGACGCTTGGGATCGAACCCCGGACCTTCCGCTCTCCGGGCGGACGCTCTTCCACTAGACAACGGAGGCGGTCAAATTGTATCATAATATATAATGGAATATACAACGTCAACGCCAGAGACCCGTCTCGATTATCTGCTGAAACATATTCCATTGGGCATGAAAGGCAAAATAGCAGTGAAAATTGTGAACGAGTTGATAATAAGATTAATAATAATATAATAATGAGACACATATTTACCACAAACATATTCCGGCTGTGTTAGTGTAACATCGTACTCCGTTGAGGTTCTCAATCAGCAATATTTCGGGCTGTGTGTTTCCACACACGAGTACAATATGCGAAGTCGGTTCCTTCTGACCACGTGGTGATATTACTGGAAGATGTTAAGAAAGGCGCAAACCTCTTCTCACTCACTCACTCACTCACTGAATAGGTATTTCGCTGCTATTGCACTGATCAGACGAATGGGATGTACATTCTAATTTCTTGTAAACTTACCCATGACAAATCGAAATTGTCTTACTTTGCTTTTAGTAGAGATTTCTTGTGATTATCGAAAATGTTCTTTTCTTCATTATTGTTGTCATGTATAGGTTTTGTCCATCAATGTCCATCAATGTCCATCAATGATCACGCCATTTTACAAATAAAGCGACAAAATCATTTCCATATTCCATAAACACAATATATAACGTCAACGCCAGAGAATAACCTGTCTCGACAATCTGCCGAAACAGTTTCCATTAGGCGCAAAAGTCAAAATGGCGGTGAAAATGAAATGAATGGATCACCGAAAATCAGCGACGAAAGAAATATCTGCCAAAAACAGAGTCCATTGAAAAATTCCAAACCATGATCGAATGAAGTTTTATAGTTGTATATAGTTCAGTTTTTCCATTTAAAATAAATTATAGAATCTGTAATAAATATTCCCCAGATGAAAATAAAATAATACCCGTATTAGTGTTATCGATTTGAACATCAATAACCAAAATAATGTCAGATGCAAATCCCTTTTTTGAGTTGTACCATATGTTCCTAAGGTGAACAATTGACTTGCCGTTGCATGTGTTCGTGACGGGTGCTACCGGTGGGACAGGACACGCTCACCTTTTCGCGAACACCTGGTATCATCACTATTTGATAGTGATTCATAAACACATGCTCATGATATAGTGGGAACTGTACAATCGACTCTGCATTTAGTAGAGATTTCTTGTGATTATGGAAAGGGTTTTGACGTTTTTATTTATGTCCCACTGATCGATGTGATCAAACTGACAATGCATTAACTATCTGAGATTCTTTCATGTCATTGATGCTAACAAAGAGCCAAGTAGCAGTACTGATATTCAACAACGCCCATCCATGCCCTGACTTCTTTAAACAATACCAGTGTTCCCCTTCCAGAACGTTAAGGGCTTTGCAAGTGTTGACCAGACACATTGAGCTACAACAACCGCGGCAGACATTAACGAAATACACAGGTAAACCGATGAAGTAGCTAACACAGACCCTCGTTTCTATGTGCAATGATGCTGTCATACTTTTTGATATAGTCGAGTAGCACTAGAATACGTCCCAAGGCGAGGATGGGATGAATATTTCATATGTGGGAGAGAGGAGGGTCCTTGTCTAGAGCTCGTGAGCTGCACGCAACATGCACGGTAGTGTGTAGGCGAGTGGGTTCAAAGAGGAGCCGATACAAACATAAAATCTCGCCCAATGAAGACCACCGCTCATTCTGTGACGTGATTTGAGAACGACACCGCCGACAAACAAACCCTGGAGCTGGTGGCCTTTCCAATTCTGATACTGGAAGTAGACAGACGAAATTTCTCATAGAAGTTTGAAGCCACATTGCCAGTCTAAAGGTGTCTCGAAGGTTTGGACAAGAAGATAAATTTTAACGGATTTCATAACGTGAAACGACGTTATCAACCCAAAGGCCGTAGAGAAGCATTGTAGTTAAAGGTAAGTTCGTATTGTTTTGTTATAGTTTTTTTGTATGGTAATAAATCCTCGCCTTTAAGTAATTTCCTCGTTTTGACAGGACATCATACTGTGAACTCGTGGTGCTAGATTAGTATTGATCTTGCAAACATGCTTTGTGAAGAAACGCTATTACTTGATCCTGACGTAAGGGAAACAGTTCCATCGGAAAGGACATTAATAAAACATTTAGACAATGTATGAGTATGATATATGGTTTTCAAACTAAGTGATCTGTTTCCTTGCAAGGACAGAAATGGGAGCTATGGTGTAATTACTGAACACATATCGTGTAATACTTCCACTTCCGACTTAATGTAGAACAGTAGTATATATGACATGGTCCACGTAACTGATGTTTGAACCGCGTGCTGGTAGAGATTGTGGCCTCGGTTATCAGTGTTAGAACATAGCCATGGCTGGATGGTTAACATTGTATCAGCAATTAAAGCTTTTATCGAGAGGATGTTTGACAGAACCAACTGAACTATCACAAAGGTACGAGGAAAACAATCGTTAATTAGATTTTCGTGACATATGATTTATAGGGATTCCGTAAACTGAATATTGTTATTATCGCTTGTGCAGACTGGTATAGCTAAATAAGAATGGCTAAAATGAGTGACACTTCAGAAAATCTCACCACGATCACCCATGTGTTTGTTTGTTTGTTATTTAACGCCGCACTCAGCAATATTACTGCTGTACGACGGCGGTCTGTAAATAATCTGGACCAGACAATCCAGTGATTGATATTATGAGCATCGATCCACGCAATTGGGATCGATGACATGCATCAACCAAATATGAACCCACTACATGTCATAACATTTTCGGAAGTAAAATGTGTTAATATTCCTTTTTTCTTGTTGGGTTAGTTTCCCCTCAAATGAATCTGGGCCCTGTACATTACAATTCTCGCTTGTCTAAGTTCATATAGTTAGTTTTGGTACCAACTATCTGTCATACTATTTTTTAAAAAGAAAAGTGTCTTAAAATGATTCTAGTGTTCTTGTGGGGTTGTTAGATGTTTTTGCCCAAAAGAATCTTGTCGCTGAGATATTTGAAAGAAAGAGATCCAGGATGAAAACAGTTTTTCCAAGAATTGTAATTGTAGAAGTAATTACAACCTAGGGTCAGTTCCAAAGGAAAGCACTTCTCGTGCTTCTTGATAATATGGAAATAAGATACATACACAATTCATCAAAACCAAAGTGGCTATCATTTAACGTAACTAAAACATGTAATGTGCTTTCTTTTAAAAAACGTTTGGCATTTCGACACGGAACCTTTTGCCAACAAACTAATGCCGATTAGTTTAAACATCCGGGTTACCGAACAGATGACAGAGCTCGTACTGGTATCGATGACGCTTAAGATGCGCTGTGCCCTCTGATCATTGATGTATACATATGAATGAAGGCAGAATGCCTTTTAACGCCCGGATATTGAAGGTGTCGAGAAGATGATTTCTGTGAATTTTATATGACGGGTCTTATTTGATTTTCTCGTGATAGCTGGGTGGCCGACAACCCAGCGGACCTGAGTTTTTTTGAAAAAAAGTTGTGATTTATCATTGACAGTTTTGTCATGTCGGCCAAATTTGTTTCTAAAGATGACTGCGTTACATGACACTATCGTGGCCGAGTGAGTGAGTGGTTTGGGTTTTACATCGCTATTAGCAATATACAAGCAATACCGCGAGAAATGGTCTTCACACACTGTACACATGTGGGGAATCGAACCTGGGCCTTCGGCGTGACAAGCGAACGCTTTAACAACTGGGCTACCCTGAACGTCCCTTATATGTGTGACTCGTAATGTGTATTATCCTTATCTGGATGAAGTGTGTATAAAGTTTCATAAAACAATATAAATAATGTATAATTAGTTATCGTCGCTATATGGCTGAAGCATTTCCGTTGTGATATTGTACATCAACTCACTCACTCATTCAAATGTACAATAATACAGAATGTAACTGGTTCATCCAAATTTTTGAACTGGCATAGTTATTCGAAGATGGTGTTTCAACTAGACTTCCTGTTATTAGAGGACAGTGTTTTAAACACGAATAACTAAGTACATGCTACAAAATATCTTTACCAAACTGTGCCGTTAACTGATATGGTATCAGTTGCGTTGTTCCTGACATTAATAACTACTATAGACATAGTTCCCGTAACGCAAAGCTATATCCCAAATCGTCCTTAATATGAACGTCTGTCTACCCATTGACATTAAGTTGGCTGGTTTGTTGTTTAACGCCGCACTCAGCAAAATTCCAGCTATATGACGGCGGTCTGTAAATAATCGAGTCTGGACCAAACAATCCAGTGATTAATATCATGAGCATCGATCCCCGCAATTGGGATCGATGACATGCATCAACCAAGTCAGCGAGCCCGACCACCCGATCTCGTTAGTCGCCTTTTACGACAAGCATGGTCGCCTTTTACGGAAAGCATGGGTTGCTGAAGACCTATTCTACCCCGGAATCTTCACGGGTTCCATTGACATTAAGATGCAAGAGCCTTTCGGACATCCATACTCTATCGTATACAGGACGCCGCCGGGTGATACCGTGGATGACCACTGCAAACAGTAAGAAGAGTAAATGTTTACGCCATGATGGAGAGTGTTAAAGGAAATGGCACTGGGATGAACGAATACGTGATCGAGTTTGGCTTAACGCCATTAATAAAAACGACAAAACCTTTCCCATTGTCAGAAGAAATCTTTGCTAAAAGCAGCGTCGATTGTGTTTATGAATCACTATCAAATAGTGATGATGCCAGGTGTTTGCGAAAAGATGAGCGTATCCTGCCCCACCGGTGGCACCTGTCACAAACACATGCAAAGGCAAGTCAATTGTTCATTTAAAACACGGCATCATTATTTCAGTTATGTCACAGTGAATCAGCTTAATGGGAAGAAAACCCTAATTGATGCAAGTCCTAGACGTTGACCAGTACGATGGAACCCACGAGCACGTGTATGGTGCTGAAAACTATAGAATTTTAGCAACAACCAGGATTCGAACCAATGCTCATTGGTATCTGGCTCGCCTGAGGTTCACGACCCTGCCACCCCTGCCCAAAAATGTCAAGAGGATGAAGCATCCTATGACCTTAAGGATGTAGAAGGTCAAATATCTGTTTCAGAGATCGAAATAAAATATATCGTCTGCATAGTTACTTTAAAAAGATCAACCCGATTGACTTCACCGTCACTATTTGAATCCCTTAAATGCTGCTTGACCAAAATACTTAATCCATGTTTACTGCTTTTGTTGTTTCGCTCTGGCCCTTCAAAGGATATCTCAACACAAGGGATGTGGCTTTTATTGCCGAAACATCAGTTTTGGAATGTGTATGTTCTTTTGTCAGTTACTGTTCCATAGCTACGGTCCTGGGGAGATTGACTTGAGTAAATATTGTGACTCTTGTCACAGGTTTGTTTGTTTGTTTGTTGTTTAACGCCGCACTCAGCAATATTCCAGCTATATGGCGGCGATCTGTAGAAAATCGAGTCCAGTGTGTGCTGCAACGGTGAAAATCATACAGACAGACTTTTGAAATTGTTAATAAACTGGGGCGGTCGGGTAGCCTAGTGGTTAAAGCGTTCGCTCGTCACGCCGAAGACCCGGGTTCGATTCCCGACATGGGTACAATGTGTGAAGCCCATTTCTGGTGTCCCCCGTCGTGATATTGCTGGAATATTGCTAAAAGCGGGGCGTAAAACCAAACTCACTCACTCACTGTTTATAAACATTCTGGCAATGGGAGTTCAAGTCTCAAAAGCTAACAACAAAGGTATTGACACAACATATCAATAAGGAATATTGCTTTTAGCAAATGCATATATTTACTTTTATCCTAACTAACATTAAAATACCAGCTTCTGATTGGTTAAGGAACGGGCGTTCATTTTCCAAGTCGCCCGCACATGCAGCCCGTTCGTGTACCCGTTGAGAAATCAATCGCAATACATCCAAGGTAACATGCATATCTCGAATAAATATTGTTGAATTCATTCGTGACCAACTCGTGTTATTCCGGGACAAGCCGAATAGGGACTCGTGCCCCGCTCGTGGCCATTTTTGCGACCGGGTTCCGTCTCAACGCAAACGAGCATACCTAAAACAATTGTCAACTCGTTGCGTTATGGTTCACTTACATTTTCCCATATAATATATATATTTCAGATGCAATTTAAAGCACATCGGGACATGCGGAATTATACAGTATGATTAAACACATTTAACTGTGTCTTTGGTATATTTTAAGATGCAAGACATACGTAAAATCAAAAAAATATTTCTGAGGGATTCTTTGACGAAGAACTTGAAATCATACGCGCATTCATACATAACATTCATCGATAGGGGGACGAGTCTTCTTGCAGGTTACGGAAAGGGGCGAGTGGTGACGAATGCGTTGAGTTAACATAAACCGAAGTTTATCCGAATGCATTGGGTAAGGGGAAGTAACTCGTTTCGTTTGCGTCGTCTGCTACGAGTCCTGCTAACTCGGTGATAAATTCGCTGTCAACCGATCCCTCGGGGCATATGGTATGATGTACCCTATGAGTGTGCCTATGTACCCCTCGCCTGACACACAGGGTACATCACACCCTGTACCCCTCGAGATCTTTTGTCAACTTATAGTGTCTTTTGTTTTCCCACTTTATCATTGCACACAATAAAACACTGATGATGGGAAGTTACTTAAAACACGTTAACTGTTCCTGTCTCAACTACAGATTCTATGTCTCGAAGATCAGGCGCACACATCAGATAGGAAACAACACGCGGAACCAGCGGGTGGGATGGGGTGCAGCGGGCTGATTTGGGGTGCAGGGTGTGCACCCTCCTTTTGTAAACATAAATTGTCAATGCAACAGAATAACCAGCCTAGATTTTCTGTCCAAACCCTCCGCGCCTGGTAATATCTAAACCGTTTACCAGTATGTTTGTTTGT